TGCGTACCACCTCCTGCACCAGTGCCTTCATGGGTGCCACGTAAACCATCTTCATTTCACGCAGATTGATGGCTCCGCTGCGGGCCGTGGCATTCTTGACAGCCCTTAGCATTGCCATCATCGCAACATTTGTCTTCCCTGCCCCCGTTGGTGCGCACACCAACATGTTTTCATCACTCCCAAAGGCACAATCAAACGTTTTGCTTTGCATGGGGTTGAGGTGTGTGACACCAGAGAATGCCACTTGTGCCCACTCTGGAAAGGCGCTCACAGGGGTGCGGGCGTATTCACTCGTTGCGGATGCCGTTGCCGGAAGCACTACCTCATCATGTGTTTCAAATACCGCCCGTTGTGTCCCTTGTGGCACAACAGCACGTGTAAGTCGATGGGGTGTGCTCTCATCCTTAAATGCGTATGCTTCCAAATCCACACGCCGCAGTGGTTTCACATCGCCACTGTTTCCGTCATCGTTGCTAATGTCATTCTTGGGCCCTATTTCTTTACCCGTGACACTCTGGTAAAGCCGCTCGACCAGACGATCCTGCTTCGCATGTGTCTTCATGGCATCCATCACAGCTTCCTTCTCCTGCTGGTTGTGCCCCTCTGCAAACTGCATGCCGTACACAATTGCCCAACGCGATGCGGCGACGACACCAATCCATTCCATGACTGCCTCATCGTCGTATCCGCCAAGAAACGCGGTGAGTTGTGTTTCGAGAGTCAACTGGTCAACCTGACGCTGGCCGGCGTACCGCAATAAACGATCCGCCTGCAGGTCACACTCCTCGACTGTCTGCGTAGGAAACAGGCGGCGCAAGGAGTCACGGACATATTTTGGGTTGCATGCAACCTCCTCAAACGTCACACGTTGCGCCCGGCCACCGCCGTTAATGTTGTTATTATGATTATTATTGTCCTCGTCTGCACCGCCGTCGTCCCCATCGTCATCGTTGGCTGTGAGCCCCTCCACATCTACGGCAAACCTCATCAAGTCCCGCCTGTTGTCGCGGGCAGTCCTGGACTCATCGTCATCCGATGAGTCACCAGCCTCCTCCTCCTGTTGCTGCATGAAAAACAAGTCGCCGAGTCCATCGCCCAATCCAGCGGCATTGTCACCGCCGCGATGGGCCACGCCACTCGTGTTTCCCACCTCCTCCTCCTCCTCCGCCACCACAATAAAGTCATCAATGAGTCGGCCATACTGAAGCACCTCATGCAGTGCCTCGGGGCTTATTGAGGTGTCGAAGAGTACCTCAAGCTGTTTCCTCACCTGTTGCAGCTGGGCTGAGCCCCCTGCGGCGGTACCATTACCCGCGCGGCACACAATGGAGAGTGTTTCCTCGGCGATCTCGCCAATCTCATCATCGAGGCCGGGTGGCAGCCACCGACGCAGATCCCTCAGAAATCGCTCATAGTGCGTCTTTGTCCTCTCGGAGTGCGGCAAGTAATGCGTGGTGGCGGGCATCACGTTACGTTTTCCTTTGTTCCCCTGTTCCTCCTTATGCTATCTCTCTCTCTCTCTCTCTATCTTTTCCTCACACCCCGTCTTTATGTGTGTGCGTGTGTGTTTCCCCCTCTCCTACAAGGATCACTTCTCTCAGGAGATGTAAAGCAAAAGGCGTCATCGAAGAAAAAAAAAAAAAGAGAGAGAGGGAGAGAGAGAAAAATAAAATAAAAACAACATACACAATGACACTTATTCCTTCTTACATCTGCCCCCGAAAAAAAAAAAAAGAAAAGGCCATGTTGTCTGTTCTTTTTGTTTTTTTTGTTCGTTCTTCTGCCTACTTCTTTTATTCTCCTACTTTTTCATTGTTTTTAGAGAAAAAAAAGAAAAGAAGCCTCCAGGCAAAATGAATGTTGCGGTGTTTTCGGTAGAATAAAAGCAAAGTCACTGATGCCTTTCTTTTTTTTTTTTTTCTTTTCTTTTTTCATCCTGAATTGCTTCCCCCTTTGCAATGTGTTGTTTCCTGCTACGTCATTCCTTCTTATCGGTCTTCAGCTCCTCCTCCCTCGCCGACCGCTTGGGCTGCGGCTGCAGGAACAGCCACACATCCAGACCACCCTTCTCCCGGTTAATCCACACACACATGGCCGCAAGCAGCCCGTAGAGAAGTAACGAGAGTAGCCCGCCACAGAAGACCCAATACAATACAGGTATCGTCCACAAAACAATTATACCAACAAAACCACGCCAAAGTCCCACATCCCGCACAAAAAGAGAAAATTTTGTGCTGTTAGGATGACGTGCCGTTTCCTCATCTTCGTCATACGTAAAAACGGTACAGTTTTCACCAAACACACTACGAACGTGGTGTGGCTCAAATCCCACTGGATTGTTGGCGTAAAACTGCGAGAGCAAAACTTCTTTTTTCGCAAAACAATCGTTCAGCCAAAGACTTAGGCCATCATCATCCGTGGGCACCACATCCAGTGCCCGCCTTTCCTCCCCCATAGACGGCGTATTCTCAGCCATGCGATGTCGCATGCATAGTATGTGAACCTTCTTTGGCATGCGACCGTTGACAACAGAACACTCGGCTGGGCGCTCGCCGGGTACAAAATCCGTGTAGCCCATCGTCACATCCACAATCTCCTCAATATTTGCCGCACCAATCATATTTTTCATTGCCACAAATCCCTTGACGCGTGGGTTAAGAACGTGGTGGAAACGTGGCAAGCCATTTTTTGCTGCGTAGGCGTGGGACTTCTCAACGTTGCTCTCTGAAAGGTCCGTTCCTTCCGGGAAAAGCAGAATGCTGGCACCGCCGTTCTCACGGTAATGCACAATCACGTCATGCAGCTTGGCCTCATCACTGGACCACTTTCGAGAAAGAAAAATGTAACGGAATAACTGCATGGACCATCCAAAGACGGGGATACGACTTAGCCCCGCCTTCAAGACAATGCGCAGCGTTCGCAGGACATTTGCCCGTGCGAGAAACGGAAACATCATCAGCCAGTCAATGCGCGAGCGGTGGTTGAGGATAATGAGTTTAAAATTGCCGGGTTGAGGTGGCGCAAACACATCGGCAATCCCTGACGGTGTTGTGGCGGACGTGGACACGATTGTGTACGCCAGGCGTAGCTTGAGCACGCACTCAAGAAATATGACGACAAACGCCAACCACTTCTCCTGCACGCCGTCGTACCAGGCAGTGCAAAGACGCATGAAATTCGTTGGAATAAATCCCGCAGTGAGTCGCACCAAAACAAGAACAGCAGCTGGCCAGATTGTGAAGAAGAAGGCGCTGACTGAAGTGACAGTCAGGGCGACGGCAAGAAAAAGACCAGAGGCCGTAACTGACGCCATGAGAAAACAGGCAGCTACACTCCGTATGAATGGACCCAACAACAACAACTAAAATGCAGGCAATCGCCGGTACGGATACACCCGCTCAATCTGAAGTTGCACGCAAAGCAAACGGAAACAGTCCCACCACCACCACCCCCCCCAAAAAAAAGTAGAAAAAGAAATGACAGCAAAAAGAAAAAAAAAAAAAACAAGGAAGCAAAGCGCGCAGAGAAAGAGAAAAAAAAGGAAAAAAAAGAAGGAGCTTCAGTGGATCCCCACCGCTGCCTCTAGAAGAACTCACTGTACATAAAGATTGATTCCTCTTCCCTTTTAGGGAAAAACACATACCGCTCAAAAACATATATAGATAGGGAGAGTACTGGAACTCCTCTACGCACACAACGTCTTTGCAAGTTTTGCCTCTACTTCTTGCCGGATCTTCTCCCTCTGTAACTCCTCCTTCATCGCTAACTCCTGCCTCTTGATGGTCCGTACGACATCCCGCACCTTTCCTTCCATGGCTGCCATGCACTCCTCCGCCACACCGCTTCCCCGAGTATCGAAAAAGCGCAGAGTTGTGTTTTTCTTCACTGCCTGCAAGAGTACTTGGCTTGTCTCCAAACCAAGTGCCTTGTTACCTGCAATGTTCAATGATAGCAATGACTCCTGCTTCGGCAACACCTCCGCGAGGGCGCGGGCGGTTTCATCGCCCAGCAGATTATGCGCGAGGTCCAGCACCTCCAGTGTGGTGTGTGTTGCAAGGCCATTGACGATGGCCACACCGCCGGTTTCATCGGGAATGCGGTTAAGACGAAGATTGAGAACCCGCAGTGTCTTGTTCATTGTCAACGCCTCGCCGAGCGCAGTGGCGCCTTCTGATCGGATATGATTGTCATTTAAATAAAGCTCCTCAAGCGGCAGTTCTGGCTTGCAGAGCAGGAGAGCAAGCTGCCGTGCCCCCTCGTCGTCAATGCGGTTGGATGAAAAGTCAAGTACGACGATGGATGTGTTGTGGACAAGTCCGCCAAGAATTCCCTTCAATAACGAGCTGTTCAGCCTGTTGTTGGGAAGCCGCAGATACCGTAGCGGCGGGTACCTCATAAGCGCGCGGCGCAAATTGAGTGCATCCGACTCGCCAAATCCCATCATTTCCCACTCAAAGTTTGTCCCAGCGTTCTTCACGCCGATGGTTAAACGGATATCCTCCAAATGCGGCATGCGTGACAGGAGGGACTCGTAAAGGGCAAACCGCGTCACCTGGCAGGCAAGGTCCAACGTGTACACGTACTCCCTACACACCAGGCAGAGGTTGTCGAGCGCCTCCGCCTCCTCTGTCGTCATCTCGGGTAATCGCAGGGCGGTCAAGAAGTCGCTGAGCACACACTCAAGAAAAAACTGCTTCCACCCCTCCCGTTTGGGTGGCAGGAGTTTCCCGCAGGACCGCTCGCCCAGCTGCCCAAAGGACCACCGCGCTTCACAGCAGCGACGCCAGTACTCATCCGATCGCACCCGGGGGACAGTCACCGACAAGGGCAAATCCGTCGACAGCCTCTCAATGACATCTTTGTACAACTTCGGGTGCTCCTCGCGCAATCCGTCAGCCTCAGGAAGTTGGGCAAAATTCGCCGCAATAATTTCCGCACATAAAGTAACAAGTTTTGGAACAAAATATGAATCTTTGTCCCACCGCCCTTGCTGCGGCCCAGCAGAGAGCGGCGACACCGGAAACTCCACCTCGCGCTGGCGCCCCTGCACTCGCACATGGTGAAACTCACTCTTCTGTACCGTCTTTTTTGACTTCATCCTCTCAACACCCTCAATCCCACCTCACCCCTAACTCCACAGCACAAAATTCCCACCAACGCCGACAGCAAACACGACGCTTACAATACAATACAAAAAAAAGGAAACGCCACAAGGAAACCAACAATAAACACAGAAACACACTCACAGACGCAGGCTAATGGCACACGTATCAACCAAAATTACCTGCAAAACAACAAACGCAAAAAAAAAAAAAGCTAAAGAGTATTCACCTGAGCCGCTAGACAAATCCTAAAGTTATCCAAAGCAATCAAAACAAGATGGGGAGAAGAAGAGGATAAATGGAGACGCAGGGGATTCGCCACATCCTCGATGTTTTCGCCAAGTTAGTATACATTTCAACTGCCACTCTCGTGACTTGCTGTAGTTTTTTAAAAACAAAAATATTATTAATTAAAGTACATTGCGGTCCCCCAGTCACCAGACCCCGCCGCAAGAATAAGAATTGAAAAAAAGGGTGGATGGGTGGGACGGCAAAAAATAAAGACAAAATCAATAAAAATTCGTCTTACCGTTATTGGCTCATTGACTCAGCCAACGCATTCTTCCAAAAAACACAAGATATAAAGGAAAATTTTCTTTTAGTTATACGACATGGTCACTATTCATTGATCGCCCGAGGGCTGTCCGTAGAAACGTGGCCAAATTTCCCGTCTCGAATAACGCTGTCATGCGACATGGATTTTCTCCAAAGATTTGAATGCTCAGTGGTCGAAGGCAGGGGCATTCCCACAGCATGTGCGGCAGGGCCTCCCGTGGATTGTCGGGGCTCAGCGGCTGGTGGGGTTGCAGTATAGGAGTGACTGAAGGGCTACGGCTGTCATTGGAGCTTGCAGAGGTGCGTTGTCCGTTTTTTGCTCGTTGATACGCTTGACATTTTCGATAGTGACCTGCGCGTGAGGCACTTGTTTTGAAGACCGTGGAGCTGTCGCAGAATCCACATGTGAGGCCTTCTGCAACGATTGGAGTGCCAGGGTTAGTGCGTCGGGCGTGTGCCTTCATATTGTGGACGGACGAGAAGACGCTGCTGCAGCTTGGGCAGGGCGACGTTGATCTGCTGCTCGTCGTTCTACGAGGAGGTGCCGTGGACACGCCAGGTGGAGGTTCCGGAGGAGGTCGGGGTGGTCCTGTCTCTTCAGTGTGAGGGAGGGGCAGCACCACCGACATAAAGGGTTGCTTGTGATCCGCAGGGCGCGTGCCAGTATGCCGAGGAGTGGGCAGGAGACGCATCGCACCCGCGCGCGAAGTCGTGATTTGATGCCCGATGTCTGCCTGCACACCAGGGATAGGATTTTTTTTTTTTACACTGACGAGCGTCTGACGTGCGGTGTGCACGACTTCTTCTT